CTGTTTTCCAGTTATTTTTGTGTCTGTTATAACAGAAAATAGTTGATTTTATTATTTCACACTAGCCCTGCAACTATGTTCACTTAGATTCTTTTAGGAAGATATGTTTAAACATGAAGACTTCTAACACTACTAAAATTTTCACTTATCCTAAAAGATCCTGAAATTAAGTTTTCTTTATTCAAAGGAATATACTTCCCAGACTTTTGGGGAGAAATGTTAATTTATTCTTTGAAATAATTTTAAAAAATGTTAGCCAAAATATAGCATTACCCTCACCCCTCCACCGAGAAAGCAATTGCTAGGAAAGAGAAACAGTGCATATCAATAAAAATGCAGCTCAAATTTTTAAGAATTTAAATGTAAGAATTTTTAAATTTTTAAGAATTTAAATTTAAGAATCAGTCTACTTTGATCTTGAAAGAAGTCAAACACATTAATAATTTTTCTCTCAAGATAGACAACCAAGCATAAAGAACAAGAATGTACTTTCAAAATTTTCTTGAGTTAATAAACAATATAAAGTAAATATTTATAATTGTCATTGTTTAGAACTGTTATTGAAAGGCAGTAGTGATATTAAATGTTTGGCTGAAACATTGTTCTAAAGTGTGAGATTTTATTTAATAAGACCTAAAAACTGATTAATCTTATAGTCACTTTGTTCTTATTCTCTGCCTTATATTACTTTGTAAGTTACTTGGAACTTGAAATATTACACACTGTTCTATGAAGGCAGGGATTGTATCTTACTAGCTCTGTGACCTTGGAAAAGGGAGTTCTCTATGCTTCTTTCATTTGTAATATAGGGACAGTAATAGTTACCTATGTAAAACATTTACCGAAATAACAAAATATATACAAAATGCACATGGCGTGACATAGGAACTGCACAGTGACTTCTATCCATTGAGTTACCAACCAGATCCTAGCACCGTATTTGTGGAATGGTTAGGCTCTCTGGCCAGAATATAAGTCTACATTTAACTGTGAAAGTAACAGTTCCAACTTCAGTGTAGTAATGCTAAATGATGAGATAAGGGATTAACCCCATTATCTCCTCATCTGGAATTATCTTAACATCCACCTATTGTAAGAAAGTCAACTATCATTTATTATGGAAACCAAGATACAGCCTGTGTACGTATAAACTATAGACATGGGGTTATGGCAAAAAACTGAAGATATCATTAGGGATTCTTGACAAGTGTATCCACAATATTTACTATGATGGGTTTCCTGAACAAATCCTTAGAAAATGGAGTGTGTACTTTGCTTAAGTGTACTATGTCCAAGGAAAGAAGCTCTGGAGAAGATGGACTTTCTAAATCCAGGCAGGCTATTGTACAAGGTACTAACAATGATTTTTTTTTTTTGGTACCTAAATGTCAGCTTAAGCCACAAAAATGCTTTGGAAAATTACAGTGCTTGTTGATGGTGATGCTCAAGACAATCTACACCAGCCGTGGGCAAACTATGGCCTGCGGGCCGGATCCGGCCCGTTTGAAATGAATAAAACTAAAAAAAAAAGACCATACCCTTTCATGTAATGATGTTTACTTTGAATTTATATTAGTTCACACAAACACTCCATCCATGCTTTTGTTCCGGCCCTCCAGTCCAGTTTAAGAACCCATTGTGGCCCTTGAGTCAAAAAGTTTGCCCACCCCTGATCTACACTAATGAAAGACAAAGATGTGAATTGACTGTACCTTTGCCACACCCATCAGCCAATCAGAAGAGTATGCAAATTAACCAACAAAGATGGCCGTTAAATTTGCATACTGCAGGCAGGGCAGGGCAGTGCCATCTGCCGCCTGGCCCAACCCCAGGATCAGGCCTGCCGTGTGCAACCTGGGGAGATGGGGCAGGCACCGAGGGATCGGGCCTGCCATCTGCCACCCGGGGAGCAGGCCTAAGCCAGCAGGTGGTTATCTCCTGAGGGGTTCCAGACTATGAGAGGGCACAGGTTGGGCTGAGGAACACCACCCCCCCCCCCCG